GGAAAATGGAAATGTTAATCTTGGCATCCCATTTTCAGCTGCAGTAATTCTAGAACTGAATAGAAAACTGATGCAATCATCTGATTAGTTGTTACATCTCTTTAAACTTCTTCCATTTTTTTAGGGGGTTGGTGCTCTCTTCCAACCTGGTTGGTTTTTAATGGTATCCTACTGTTAACCCCTGAGGTGTCCTCAGTACTAACACCCATTCATTTTATTTCCATTCATTTCCCATATGCCTATAATGTCAACATATTGCTTTACAGAGTACACAGACCATTCACATCAGTTCCTGTCACTGAAGAAGCTTGAAATGTAATATCCTTGCACAGCCATACAAACACAGATACTCTAGATCAGGGATGGCCAAACTGCGGCTCTTCAGCTGTTGTGGAACTACGAATCCCATGAGGTTTTGCAAGATTCTCACAGCCACAGACATGACTCCTGGAGAGAGATGCTTCATGGGATTTGTAGTTTCACCACAGCTGGAGGGCCGGAGTTTGGCCATCCCTGCTCTAGATCAAGGAGTTCTCAACCTTTTTTCGGTCATGGCACCCTTTAAAAGTATGCAAAAAAGTAGCCTAGATAGGGGTCCGGTAAGAATTTTAAGGGGGGACCCTATGCAACAATGCCTCACAAAAAATGGCGGCAAAAGGGACCCAAGGGTGCCATGGTTGAGAAAGGCTGCTCTAGATTAGGGGTTCTTAAAATGTATGTACAGCCAAAACTTTCTTTATTGCCTGGAGATACACTTTAAAGAAGAACAATGGGTAAAAATGTTATTAACCTGCACTGCAAGGGTTCAGTGCTCGTCTTTGCCTAGGATCAAAAGTAACAAAGTTATATTTACCCGATCCGATGACAGTGCTCCCTTCTTCCTGTAGGGCGGATCCCGACGTCCATGTCGGGATGCGCTCCGGCTGCGGCGTCTCAGTATACCGTGAGTTCCTAACTACTGTATCTATACATAAAGTTAAACCAAACTGTGAGGTGATGATGATGATGATTTTCAGAGTTTGGTGAAGAGGGCATAGAGACATTTTGGGGTCTGCAATCATAAATAAGATTAAGAACGCCTGCTTTATGGCCTTGTTAACCTTCGTTGTTTGAATCATTACAGGAAACTGGAGAACCCAAACAAACCTACATAAGCATACACAGAATATACAAACTGTGTGCAGACATTGTGACAAGTGGAAATTGATCCCAGAGCTGCAGACATGGCCACCGCGTTCTTTTGTGCATTTTTTGGTGGGGTGGGTAAAACAATTCTTCAGTTGTTAAATCACTTCCTAACGTCCGACTACTGCCATATACCTCCGGGTAGTGTTGGTACTGAAAAAACACATGCTCCCTTAGAACAAAGTTCATTCATCCAATTTGTTAAATTCAGCTCCACTGACTTACTTTGTATAATTAATTACCCCCCTAATCATTGTAATACACATTTCAATGAATGCTTCCTCTGCCTATCCTCCCATCCATGTTCATTGTGTAATCAGGACAAAGAACGGAAAGTAATACTTTTTTATTCAACAACTAATAGCCCTGGTCTTGAAACAATTAGCCTTTCCTGTTTTCATTCCATATGTAGTGGCTCTGATAGTATTTATGTCTTTATGAAAGTGCAGGAAACATTTGAGAATGTTTGCCACAGGTTGCAATCAAGAATCAGAACACTGGCTTTGTGTTTGAGAACAAAATCCACCATCTGATTAAATCTATATTATAGCTGTCCATTTAAGATAGTAGTGATTAGCAGATGGCCTCGCCTCATCATCCCGCGTGTCCGCTTGTCTTAGTTACACTACTGGAAGTAGTAAAGAGTAGTATGTGGGTTGGATAATAAAGAAGCAGGCATGTTAGTTACATGGCTACATAGATGATAAGGTTGAAGAAAGACAGATCCATTCAGTTCAACTTATGTGCATGTGTGTGATTTAGAGCCTCCAACGATCCCTACAGCCCTGTATTCTATGCTCCCTAAGGAAGACATCTAAATATTTTGAATTTGTCAACACTCTCAACTAATACAGTACAACTGTCTGAGGAAGGGAGCACCCCATTTTCGCTGTTCTAACAGTAAAGAACTCCTTCTGCAATCTATAGTTAAATCTTATTTTGACATTTAAAATTATTTTGACCCTTAGTGGCCACATTTCTTCTTCAGGGACTTTTGTAATATGGTGCTAAGGTCCCTGAACTAGGTACTATGCAGTTGTGTAACAATAGCCAATGCAGCCCACACAGCTGCTATGAGGCCTGGGATAGGAGGGGGCCCCATTACAGGAGCTGATATGCAGGGGCGTCCCGAGGCTGGGTGACACCCGGAGCGGTGTCCGAGTGTCCCCCCGCCAAGACGTCACCGCGCACGCGCAGCCGTATTCTGATACCTGCCGGCGGCCATCTTGGTGATGGACACCGGCAGAGAGAGGAGGAGACAGTCACCCCTCCTCTCTCCGGACACTGTCGGGCGTTTGGTCCATGACCAAGTGCCCGACTTTTCAAGAGGGGGGTGACACCAAAATGACTGTAAGTCATTTTGGTGTCACCCCTCCAATGGTGTCACCCGGGTGCGGGCCACACCCCTCGCACCCTCCGTGTGACGCCACTGCTGATATGGAAAACTAAATTGTGAGGTTTCCAGTATAGAAGGACTGGAGGGTGTTCAGGGTGCTGAAGACTCAGGATGTTCTAGTCATTGTTCCCACTCTGTGCAGTAAGAAGCATTTGCATATCTATCTTAGCGGTGCAGATTTATTGCCCACTAAACTTTTGCTATAGACTGAAAGGAACACCATATGATTAATGCAGTCACAAATACCAGAGTTTCACTTCTGTTAAAACCTTATAAGGCTTACATTTGTGGTTCTCGAAAAACATTTATTGAAGCTAGATTTTAGAGAAGTTTGTATTAATGTGTGCAAAAGCATTCATATCTTTTTCATAATATAAAATATTATTATGGTTGTTATTATAATTAGTACTACTATAACTTTTATCCCCAGCACTGCTCCCTAGTAGTGTACTAACTATGCTGACAGGTCTCCTTCTGCCTATCCTTGATACATTCATTCTTAATACTTCATATTAGGATCAATGACACATATTGCCACAGTTGACACAACCAACTGCTATAGAGAGAGTTAGCTAGGGAGCCCCAAAGTTTTACACTGGGGCCCCATAATTTGTAGTTACGTCATTAGCACTATGGTACTCAGGGCTGGATTAAGAGCATCATGGGCCTGGTACTGTCGGTCGGACAGATGGGAAATGCAGATGGGAAATAAAAAAAGATATACTCACTTGAACCTCACAGCTTTTGGACCGGTCCCTTGAGCCGCACTTTTCCTCCACTCTGGCTGTCTAAGGTTCTGTGAGACATTACGTTCTGTACAGTGTATTGGCAGTGGGGACACCGAGGGACATTCTATCACTGGTGCAGAGCAAGAGACTGGCTGGAGAGACAGGTCTAGGAGGTTAAGGTGAGTATAACTTTTCACCCTTGTGTGTGCCTCCACAAATATACAGACACAGCTAATCAAGCTACTTCCCGCCCCCTGGCACCATTTCCTCCCTCCTCAAAGCTAGTAGATACACAGAATATACAAACTGTGTGCAGACATTGTGACAAGTGGAAATTGATCCCAGAGCTGCAGACATGGCCACCGCATTCTTTTGTGCATTTTTTGGTGGGGTGAGTAAGACAATTCTTCAGTTGTTAAATCACTTCCTAACTTCCGACTACTGCTAGGTGGCGCAGGAGCTGAGACCTGCAGCTCCAGTGCTCACCTGCAGGTGTTTCCCAGCTGCCAGTACTTAGCCATCACCTGGTGCTTCCTGGGAGGATATTTCAACCCTCCCTGCAGTCAGGATGATGGCTCAGTATCGTTTCCAGTTTCCTGAAACTTGAACCCTGAGTCCCCAGTTCCGGTGAACCCTGCTTTCCGTCCAGAGTCCTGTTACCAGTTCTGTACCCTGTTTGTGTCCCGAGCCCGGTTACCCATTTGCAGGCCTAGATACCTCTTGTTGCCATTACCTGCCTTTCCTCTTGTTGCCATTACCTGCTTGTCCTCTTGTTGCCATTACCTGCCTTTCCTCCTGTTGCCATTACCTGCTTGTCCTCCTGTTGCCATTACTTGCTAGTAGTCTGGTTGATGCTTATTTATGTTTGCTTTTGGGTGTTGTTTAGTTTGCTGTTGATTAAACTGTATATAAAACATTCTGCCCAGTCCGGTGTGGTCATAAGTGTTTGGTCTGCCTGTGTGGGTACCTGCTCAGGTGTGGGGTCACCTGTGCCGGTATCCCTGACACAATGTTTGCTGGGCAATGTATATTTGTATGATCTGGATTCATTATTGAAAACAAGTTTGAGTGTTAAATACTACTTTAAGCCCTCATTCACACATACAATTTAGGTGCATTTAGGGATTCCTGCGTCAGGAACTTGCGATTTCCCGCAGCAGGAATCTCAAATCTGCCAGCATGTGTCACCCGTTTAAATTAATGATTGGGTGACAGTGGCGGTATTTGAAAGTGTCAGAATGCTGGTACACTGTATGTAGTTGTACTGTTTACAGCCTACGGGTACATTGAGAAACATAGTTGAATGATAAAGCCAATGAAACTACAAATATGTTATAGATTAAATGTGCAAATTAAGGAGGTCATACAAATAATGTACATTATGAATCATAGTTACTAATTTTCTTAAACAGTGATTTATAGTGCTCAGCTTTTGATTCTAGTTCCCAAATGGTTACTTAGATTTTCAGGTATGACTTTGTTTTTCATTGCGGTTTATTGGGGGGTCACATGACTTGGTCTCTAATAACTAATAATAGTGCCCTGATTTAGAAAGGTTAGAGGTATTTACTCTAGGAAGCCTGATTAGCTATACTTCTGTCTTGTTCTGCATAATTCATCATTCATACATTTCTGGAATGTGTATTATTTCAAGTATTCTCAAACTTGAATTCAAATTTGTATATTTCCAGGACTCGTCAGACAGCTTCTTCCTCTTCACAAGTGTTGGAGATCCTGCATAGGCCTCTGTTGGATCCAAGCCCGGTGGAGTCAGAGGAAGGAGGAGGCAGACAAGTCGTGCACAGAATGGGAATTTAAACCAGCTGATCAGGGACATGAAGGTAAAAATTATTGATATAGAACATTAACTTAACCCTTAGAGTTCCCAGTTCCCTAAAACCTGCCAGGTGTACTCTAAGGGTCTAACCACCCAAAAATCTCACAGCTGCTAGCAAAAAAGCAAAAGATATTTTCTTGTACATATAGCCAAAGTTTGTCTCAATTTTGGATAGTGTAAGAAAGGATTAGAACCCCTGCTGAAGTATTTTCTTCTTTTTTGCTATCTGGTTCCTCGCAATACAGACTTACACTATTTATCTTGAGTTACCATAGTCATTATTATAGGAAACGATCGGAAATCCAAGATTTTCTAGTTCTCATCAGAACAGCAAGGTAAATCTTCCAATAGAACACCTGATCTGGTTAGAACTAAAAGGTGAATGTTCCTCTCTTTCTATGGATTTTCTCTCACTTCCTGTTGCGTGTTTGGGAGTACTGTAAACACTTCCCAATGAGACACAGACACCAAAGATAACTGACAGAGGCTTTGACCCTTCCCTATTCCAGCTAAAACTAAGGTTTGGGCAATAGATGCACTTTAACTCTCTCTCAAGGATTCCACAGATTAGATATTCCTACCAGACTCTCCAGTTATAGTGAAGTGCCAAAGTCATTACAAAACACTATAATGATATTAATTGTGGACTGCAAGCGAGTGACCATTGGAAATATTTTCTGGTTGACTTTGCCTTAATTTTAATATACTTTGATTTTCTAAACTGGGATGTTTTCAGATGTGCGTGCATGTGTATTTTTAATTCCTTTTTAGCCAATCAACTAGTAATTGATCATTTCTAATTTTGCCTGTCTCAGTTGTCCTGTAAGTAATCTACATTACAGTTCACAGATGTTTCAAAGTGTGTGCTTAGGTGTTCAAACAGCTTCCCATTGAAATAATGCTTTTACAGCAGCTCCAGACCAGGTGTCTTTTTGGGAATGGAATCTAGTGAATCCCTCTCCATTGATTTGAGGTGCAACTTTTACGGCTCATGCAGACATCTGTAGCAAACTGCAATGTCTCAATGCAGGGAATCTGCAAGTCAAGTTTCAATTTCCACTAAAGTCAACTGTTGTGGATTACATAACTTCATAGAAATTCAATGCATTTTTAGAGAATCCTTTTTTTTTGTAGTGTTTACTCATACATTGCTTCCTCATAGGAATTAATACAAATGAACTGAATTGCAGTATATGTGCATTTAGAAGACTGATAGGGAAGGATTACATATTTTTCTTCATTAGCACCATGACTAACACAAAATACTGGCAGAATTTTTTTTTAATATAAACCAGGGGCATCTCTCTTTTCGCACACCCTAAGGCGGGGGGTGTTAGCAGCACATGTTCCCAGATAGCAAGCAATTGAGCTGCAAGTTTGAAAATGACTTGCTAAACTATTGCAGACTTGCCAAGCTTCACAATTTTGTTGCAGACATCAAGTCTGCATTGCAAGTCTCCAGACCAGCGAGCTTGCAGAGCTCTTGCTAAGACCTGCAGGACTCTTGCTGTAGACTTGCCAAGCAAATTTGCTACAAATTCAAAAAGTGTCAACTAGAACTTGTGCTGCAAGTGTTCTGCAAGTCTACAACTTGCCAGGAATGTGTGCAGCAAGTTAACAAAATTACAATTTCACGCCGCCACAAGTTTGTAGCAAGTTATCCTTGCTATCTGGGTTACTGGGGGGTGTTTTGGTTGGCTGGGGTGTTACCGGGGGTTTGTGTAGGAGGGGGTGCACGGTCCAGCTCACTGACATCACTGGTTGCTAGGAACTGGGCGGGACGCCAGCCACAGCATCCCGCTCAGCTCCTGGCAACCAGGGACATTAGTGAGCTGGGCGGGACACCGGCCAGAGAGTCACAGGTTGCTAAGAGCTCTTAGCAAACTGGGATGCTCTAGCCAGAAAGGGGCAAGCTTTTCTACCTCAGGCTGCCTCATTACAGGCCCTGATATAAACAATTCAAAGTGTGGTTAGATCCTATCTTCTCCTAATGGGAATCTGTCTGTCAGGGCAAAGTGATATGTTCCCCTAATAGGGCACCCCCACCTACTGATACTTACCTTCTTCACACTAACCTACTGCCCTGGTTATCTGCAGAAGCTATGAGTCTACTCCCTGTGTAAGCTGCATGTCAGTCTGTGTCGGAGCTTAAAGACGGTCTCTCCTCCCCCCTGATGATCGTGTTTGGGCCTGGTGATTGGCTGCTCAGGCCTAAGTATTGCATCCTGGGAAGAAGGAAAGAAGGTCACATGCACCTATATACCAGAGAGCACTGTGTATTGCCAGAGGATCCCAGAGTAGAACTGTGGGGAGGTGTTAGTGGATGGGTGCCCCATCAAGAAACCAGGTCTCTTTGCCCTGAATGGTTGGCTGTCATGCTTATAAAATGGCATCAATACATTCTGAAGCACTGACCCCGAACGAGTATGCAGATCAAGTGTTTTGACTTCACCTGCTACATGCTTGTTCTGGATTATTGCCTCTGAGACAGAGGCAGCCAGGCAACTTGTATTCTTAGGAGGTCAGCAAAGGCAGCCCCTCTGTTTCTTTTAGTACAGGTTATCAAGGTATAAAATGATACACTGGTTTGAACCTGACAAAATTTACAAAATGTACACTGTACAGTCAAAGTGAACTTGTGCTCCATTTTAAACATTTAAAGTGAAGGTGCACCACAAGATGCCTGCTATTACCTTTGTTAGCCCCAAAAAAGCTTCTTCTGTGGTCTCTGCTTTTGTTTCACTTTTTAATGCAGTCCAACGTTTCCTCACTTCAGACTAGGCCATGCCAACTTCCATTCAATTGTCCAATGAGACAGGCCCAGTAAACCTTCTGGTCACGGGGAATGTGGTTGGTGAAGCTTAATCATGAAGTCAGGGAAAGTCAGGCTCCAATAGTTAAGTAAAACTAAATTAGAGACAGGCACAGAAGAGGCTTTCCCGGTTAATAAAGGTAATGGAATGCACCTTTCTCTTGCCTTAGGAAAACGGTTTGCTTTTGAAGTGTAAAAAAAAAAAAAAAAAAAGAAGTACAGGTCAATTTTTACAATATACCTAAAACCAACCGGTCTTTGCCCTGTCCGTGCATTTTAAATACACATTCATTTGAACTTGATTATTTCTCTATGTGTGCTAAACATATTCAGATAGTGATCTAGCTAGCCAAATCTTCCAGATTTCTGACTAAATGCACCAATAGACATGAGTCACTTTATTCCGAAGTCCTATACCCACGCAGATGGCTGCTGTTGAAGGAAATATGTGATCAGACAGGTTAGAAAACCTTATCACATTGTTTTTTGGCCCATAGATTGTTACAATCAGATGTTCATCAAAATTCAATAAACTGGATTATTGCACATGCTGATAAAGGAGATAGGTGGCTAATCTGAATTAAAGCCAAAATGAACCTTCAGTTTAAAGCAGCTAAATACACCCCAGGTGCATCAAAACCTAAAAACTAAAGGAGTGCAAAGTCATACAGTGTGTTCTTTTTCTAAAGTTGCTTCAGCTCGAGAAGAAAAGCCTGTCTCCTGCTACCAACTGCTGAGTGGAACTCTTGCTCTCTGTGGGGAAGCAGTGGTCTCAATGCAGAGGTCTGACACGCCCCTTACTGAGTCAGACCTATAGCACTACAATCAGGAAAGCTCATGCTCCCTGCTGATTGGAGATCTCTGACTCAGCAGGGGGGCCTAATGGACCTTTCCAAAGAGATCATTGCTTCTGCCCAGAGAGCAAGGGTACCAGTCTGTAGCATGCTGGCAGGGTACAGGCTTTTCTACTGTGACTGACAGACTGTGGCTGCTCTTTAAAGAAAACAATCTGTAAAGCTGACCATACACTAAACAAATTACGGTCAGTTTTTGATAAATGGGTGGCTCTGTCGGCAGCTTTCTGCCAAACATCTTTCGATCAGAAAATTGAAGGAGCCAGGCGAACAACTGTTCTTGGATGCAGTCAATGTTCAGGTATTCTAACAACAGCACACCAGCCACTGTCAGATTTTTAGCTTGGATGAAAGATTTTGTTAATTTTTTTTTCGTTCAGCCTGCTGGCTAAGATTTAAAAAAAAAAGTATAACAGTCTATGGGCAGTTTAGGAGTTTTCACACTTTGATTATATAATTTAACGCTTAAAAATATTTTTAAAAAAGGTGTTCCTGATCAATAACATACTCTAAGAATTCAATACTGAATGAAAGTACATTTTGGCAGTCTCAAATAACGATCAAGTTCAAGTCCAAATAATGAAGAGAAATACGGAACATGTATTTTCCTGTCTGCAGCACAGCTTCTGCATAGTACTGGTGAGCAGAAACTTTGTGCTTTTATGTCATGTTGACGACTTTCTCTAAGCTGGAAAGAATTCCCCTTTCTTCTAGAGAACAGTATTGAATACACACAATTCATTCCAGTAGTGGAAATTTGGAACACGTTTCTGCTTACTTGACACAACGTGACTTCCAGAATGATTGCAATAATTGACTGATTTGCCAACTTAAAGCAGTTAAAAGTTCACTTTAGTGATTTACAATGCATGTTTGTTTCTTGTTTTATCTTTACTAAAAAGGTATTAACAACTGGTATTGATTACATTTGTGTGACTTTTATTTTGCAATATCCTAAACAGTTCTGCCCTACCAGAGGTGCCTAGTTATCAGAAGGATCATGGCTAACAAGATAGCCATGTTTTAAGGGATAGCGTACTGTAAGATGGGACCGGTCAGTCGCTACACAAAAGAATGCTTGCCATGCTACAAGAGAGAAAACACTTTCACAATAGCCCGTAAGACAGCTGAAGGCGGCCGAGCGGCTCAGCCAAGCCGAAGGCACATGCTTTGTCTCGACTGAGCTGAAGTGACAGCCGAAGTGAGGCAAATGGCCTGCCCAAGGCCGGCCGTTTGCCCCGCAAATGACAGCTGGGCGGAGCCAACCGCCCAGTTGTAATGATAGATCAGCGTCCCCAAATGACCTGGGGATGCTGATCTCTCACTAAACAATCTGTC